ACATACATGTACAGTACCTATGGAGTTGTTTATAGCTACACAAGTAGAATTGCTGGAACTCATTGTTTTTATCACATGCTTCATTGTTTTTACAATGACAATTATACATGTAGTACAAAATTCACTATGGAAACCAGGAGTTGAAATACAAACCTTGTTGACAATCAGAATCTATAGTATCTAGATTTATCCATCCTGGTGCACAATCATCATTTGGACAAACACCAGTGTTCTTATCACATGGTGCATTGTTTTTACAATGACAATTATAGTTACATAATTCACCATATAAACCATCAGGACAAGCAGAGGGAACTGAAATGTATAATAATCACAATACTTATTCAATATTAAAACAAACTACAGTGAGTTGTTCTAAGATCATATAAAAATAATATAAAAAATAAAATAAAATAAACTAAGATACAGTAAAGATAACCAACTAAACAGAATGCTAAAAAAAGCTAAATAATATTTACAAACACATAAAGAATCACAATATACTTGTACTACACTACTACACTACTATTGCCAAGAAGTGAAAATCACATAAGTATGGTTTTTAATAAGAATATTTTTAATTTTGGTGGAGCTGCTCAAATCTCATTCGCATACATTTTTGTATGTATTGTGCACTTCTAATTCCTTTACAATATTCTATTCAATTTAACTTGCTAATATTGTTTATGATATCCTCCAATTCTTTGTGTATTGTACAGACTGAAGTCTATAAGGAAATGTACCTCACCTTCAATCTGCTTTAATGATCACAGATTCTGAACTGGCATAAGGCTTGTCTCAGTTTAACATCACTCATTGTTATTAAATATTTTTCCTATTTGAACCATGTTTTGAATGCTCTATAATTTGCCAATTTGTTTGTTCCGCCATTTGCTCAGTTGTCATCAAATAGAGCTTCTTTCCATGTTATTATATAATAAATGTATTTTATAAATTAATTAATCATTACTGTGCATGTACACCTGCATGATACTGTGAGGTTGTCACATAATATCAGCTGGCTTATACAAGTTCAACTTGGTGAATAGATTATACATCCCATGAAATCAGGTGTATCAGGTGTATCAACAAGTGTCAAAATTATGCTAGTTAGGCATGACATCTAACTTGT